CTTGGTTGATTACCTCCCTCCCACCCACCCTCCCCCACCTTCCCTCTGAGATCCGCACTCTGTTCCCTGCTCCCATGTCTCTGGATCCACTCCGTTCATCAGTTTATTTTGTTATTTACATTCCACATATGAGTGAGGTCATGTGATGCTTCTATAATTCTTTTTAGAAAAAGAGTGGCTGCGGACTGGGTATTTGTGTCTCCCCCCCCCCCCCATTCATTTGTTGGACCCTAATCCTCATGATGGCATTTGTAGGTAGGTCTTGGGAGGTCATTAAGATGAGGCGTTTTCATGAGTGGCCCTCATGATGGGATAATGTCCTTATAAAAAGAGGAAGGGACCTGCAATCCCTCCATCCTGTGAGGACACAGCGAGAAGCCAGCATCTGGGAGCGCTGCCAGGGACCTAACTGGCTGGCATCTTGGCCTTGGACTTCCCAGAGTGTGAGAAATAAACGTCCATTGTGTAAGCCACCCAGTCTATGGTGCTTTGTTATATCAGCCCAGCAGACAGACTACACACGAGTCCTCGCTGATGGGGCAGACGTGCGTGGTTTCCAAAAGGGCAATGTTGCAGCAGAGGTTCGGCGTGTTCCGGCCCAGGCCTGCTGATTGCAGCCGGAATGGAGAGCAGGCGCGATGGACGGATTGGTTAAGTGGGGGTCAGTTACCAGCATGCCCATTATCCTATGTAATAAAAACCTAATATGCAAATTTTCCCCTCCACCGGGACTTCCACCAGAGGGCGGGGCCAGCCCTCCAACCGCCTGTGGCCCCTCCCCCCGGCAGGCCTGCCTGATCAGCCCCACCTGTGCACGAATTTGTGCACTTGGCCTCTAGCCCTATATAATAAAGCGGCAATATGCAAATTGACTGTCACACCCTCACACAAGATGGCCGCCCCTGTGTGGTCACAAGATGGCCACCACAAGATGGCCAGCAGGGGAGGGCAGTTGGGGGCAATCAGGCCAGCAGGGGAGGGCAGTTGGGGGCAATCAGGCCAGCAGGGGAGGGCAGTTGGGGGCAATCAGGCCAGCAGGGGAGGGCAGTTGGGGGCAATCAGGCCAGCAGGGGAGGGCAGTTGGGGGCAATCAGGCCAGCAGGGGAGGGCAGTTGGGGGCAATCAGGCCAGCAGGGGAGGGCAGTTGGGGGCAATCAGGCCAGCAGGGGAGGGCAGTTGGGGGCAA